TTATTTATTTATTTATTTATTTATTTATTTATTTATTTATTTATTTACTTTGTCAAACAATTATTAGATAACAGGAATAAGTATAAACATGGTTATAAATACACGAAATGGATACGAATAAGAAAAAAGAAAGAAACAATAGGACAGGGATGGTGGACACATTTTGGTGCACTTATACACGCGCCCTACAGACCTCTTAGGAAAGGGGTGAGGTCAATAGTAGACAGTCTAATGTTGAAGATTTTGGGGTTTGGGGAAGAAACCACAGAGTCAGGTAGAGTATTCCAGACATTGACCACTCTGTTGCTGAAGTCGTATTTCCTGCAATCAAGTTTGGTGCAGTTTATCTTTAGTTTGTATCTATTTTGTACTCTTGTATTGTTTTGGTTGAAGCTGAAGTATTCATTGATATGTAGGACATTGCAATATATAATTTTATGTACTATACTTAGATCAGACCGAAGGCGTCATCGTTCTAGGTTGTCTAGGTCTAAAATTTCAAGTCTGGTGACATAAGGTATTCTGCTATGAGAAGAGGAGTGGAGGACTCTTTTCGTAAAATATTTCTGGACTTTCTCAATTGTATTAATATCAAATATGTAATACGGGTTCCAGACTGATGAGCTGTATTCAAGTATTGGTCTAGCAAATGTTTTATATGCTCTCGTTAGTAGAGTGATATTACCAGAGAAAAAGCTATGCAGAATTAGGTTAACAACTCTTTATGCCTTTTTGGCTATGTAGTTACAGTGGGCTCTAGCGCTTAGATCATTTGAGATCAGTACTCCAAGGTCTTTGACAAAGTTTGGGTCATCAACAAGGTCTGGACTATTCAACTTGTATTTTATTTTTTGATTTATTTATTTTTTTTGCCAATATGCAAGTCAGAGCATTTACTTCTTGAGATCTGAAGTTGCCATTTGTTTGACCATTCTGACACATAGTCGAGGTCTTTTTGAAGGGTAGCAGCATTGTCAGTGGTATTGAACAACTTTACATCATCAGCGAAAAGAACGCAGTTGCTCTTAATATGATCACAGAGGTAATTTATGTATAGTATGAAGAGAGTTAGTCCTAGAATACTGCCTTGGGGGACACCATTGTTGACAGGTACAGGATTTGATAGGATGCTCCCAATTTTGACCATTTGTTGCCTGTTTGACAGGAATGCTTCTATCCAGTTATGCAGGTATCCAGAGATACCATAAGACCTTAGTTTTAGGAGTAGTTTGTCGTGTACCACTGAATCAAAGGCTTTACAGAAGTCTATGTAAATTGCGTCAATTGCTTTGCCCTGATCGAGTTGTGTAGTCCATATGTTTTTACAGTGTAAGAGTTGCAGATTACAGGATAGTTTTTTTCTGAAACCAAATTGTTTATTAGAGAGTAGGTTGTTTGTCTCTAAGTGGAGGATAATGGATTGGTTAATAATTGATTCCATGACTTTACAGGTAACGCAGCTTAAAGAGATTGGTCTGTAATTTTCAAGTAGGCTGGGTTCTCCCTTTTTGAAGATGGGGATGACCGTGGCTTGTGACCATAGGTTAGGCAAGGAGCTGGTCCTGAAAGATTTTTCAAAGATTATGCTTAGAGGTTCGGCTATGGCAGTGGATAGCTTTTTTAAGAAGTAGGCACATACTCCGTCCGGTCCAATAGATAAAGATGGTTTTCGATTGTGTAGTACTTTTTTAACATAATCTTCTGTAAAATTGATATGTATTAGATCATTGTAGTTGTCTGTGGTTCGACTAGGAAATATTGGGCATGATCCATTGCTGTTTACAAATACTGAGCCAAAGAATGTGTTAAAGAGGTTGGCTTTAATAGTGTCATCATTGCAGTCTTTACCATTTGGTTCTTTTAGGGGTGGGATGGACCTTGAGTCTTTTAGTTTGTTGTTTACAAAATTGGTGAAAGCGCGGGTGGAATTGGTGCATAGAAGGCTTTCCTCTTATTTAGTGTGATAATTGGTACATTCAGTCTTTATCTGGTGGCATACATTTTTGTATCGGCTTTTAAAGTTGGCAACGTGACCAGATTTATTTTTCCACCAAAGGGATTTCTTTTTGGATTGGAGCTTCCTTATTGTTATGGGTAATTTGTTTATTCTGGTTTTGGGAGTTGTTATTGGTACATATAGTTTGATGACTCTTTTGACTTCAAGTAAAAATATGTTGTAATGGTCTTCAACAGTATTGCATCCAGTGAATAGAAATTGCCAATCAAGGGATGAGAGATCGTTGTCTATAAGATCATAGTTGCCTTTTTTGAAGTTATAATTGGGGATCCTGTTGTTATGATGATTTTTGTGTGAACATATGTTGAGACAAAAGTCAGTCATGCTGTGGTCACTGTTGAAAAAGGGTTCATTAATTTGTATTCCGTAAATTGAATTCAAACTGTTGCAGAAGATGAGATTGAGGCAGTTGTTAAGTCTAGTATTGTTGGTGGTTAGTATTAGTATTTTGGGGGAGTAGCTCCCAGAAATAGTTAGACAGAGAGGAGGGGGTGGATAGTTAGAAGGGGAGATGAGACAGAGAGAGATAAGATGGATAAGCTAGAGAAATGGAAGAGAGAGACATGGATGGATGAGATAGAGGGAGAGAAAGAATGGATTGTATAGATGGATGGATGGATGGATGGATGCATAGATAGATAGATAGATAGATAGATAGATAGATAGATAGATAGATAGATAGATAGATAGATAGATAGATAGATAGATAGATAGATAGGGGAGAGGGGGGAGAAAGAGGATGGATGGATAAGATGGATGATAGATAAACAGACAGACAGACAAATATATCAGCTTCTGGTTGTCCAACTTCCTTCCGTGAGAAAAATCCTTCAGCCCCCCCAGCCTCTAATACATTCCTTATGTAGGTTTAGCTGAAAGAAAAGGCAACTGGATGGGAAAGGAAGATACAGGGAAAAATCAAGAGGGAAGGTGGGGAAACCCTCTTAAAAATCAGTTTCCTACATCCAGAGCAAACCTTTTTCTTGGCTGGCTTTTGGGCTTTTGCAAATAAACAGATATCCTGAAATTTATTTCTATTTTTCGCATCATGTTTTTTTATCCTGCGGGGGAGTTTTGAATCTTGCTCTTGGGATTCTATACTCCAGGAGACATCCTCTTACCGTGGAGGTAATCAAAACAATAACAAGAGAGATGATAATAACAAGAGATAACAGCACAGTTCTGGTTTTGCATTTATATGTGATTATTGTGTTTATGACACTGTGATGAGTTTGGGTTACAAATCTGGCTGCAGGCACTGCATGAAGACAGTCAACTCATTTGGGAATGAGCAGGACACGTGACCACTGAAGTTGCTTTCTTGCCTTTGTTGTCCTTCTCAACAGGGACCGAAAGGTTTTCCAGGTCAACCAGGGCCTGCTGGTCCCATCGGGCTACCTGGATTTCCGGTAAATCATCCTTTTTTTTTTTTTTGTTATTAATTACATCCTGAATAATCTACCATTGCAGCTAGTTCAGAATATATGAAGTAGCTACTGTTATCTATAGTATTTAGAATCAGAATAGAGCTGGAAGGGACCTTGGAGGTCTTCTAGTCCAGCCCCTTGCTCAAACTGAGAATCCTATACCAAGTGACGGTCCACTCTCTTCTTAAAAACCTCCAGTGATGGACCCACAAACAATTTTTGAAGGCAAGTCGTTCCATAGGTTAATTATCCTCACTGTTAGGAAGTTTCTCATTAATTTCAGATTGCTTCTCTCCTTGATTAGTTTCCATCCATTGTTTCTTGTCCTGCCTTCTGGTGCTTTGGAAAATAAGTTGAGCCCCTTCTCTTTGTGGCATCATCTCAAATCCTGGAATACTGCTATCATGTCATCCCTAGTCCTTCTTTTCTCTAGACTAGCCAAATCCAAATCCTGCAACTGTTGTTCATATGTTTTCGTCTCCAGGCCTTTAATTCTCTTAGTTGCTCTTCTTTGCACTTTTCCCAAAGTCTCAACCTCTTTTTTGTAATGTGGTGACCAAAACTGGATGAAGTATTCCAGGTATGACCTTACTAAGGCTTTTTAAAGTGGTACTACTTCACCTGATTTTGATTCTGTGCCTCTGTTTATACAACCCAGGATTGTATTAGCATTTTTGGCTGCTGCCATGCACTGCTGACTCGTGTTTAAGTGATTGTTCAGAAGGCTCCAAGGTCCCTTAATATTTATTTATATATAAATAACCCCCCTATCTCCCTCACAGAAGCAGAATGACAAGGTGGGAAAGGGTTTAACTCCACCTCCTTTGGCTTTTGATCTACTGCAGTTTGGGTGGGATACATCTACCCTTTTTCACATCTATTTGCTTAAATATTAATATAAGGGCATCAGCCCAAGATAAGAGGCAGGAGTGCAGAGGAGGATTTGGCACAAGTCAGCTGCTCTCATTTATTACTGAATAATTTATCTATCTCTCTGCTTCCTAAAAAAAAATGGCACTGTAAATAACTTTGGATATTCAAGGCATCATTCGCCTTTCCCTTTTTAACAACGGCTCCCTCTTTTTATTTATATGTTCCACCCATAAACTGAAATTTGTTTTTCAAGTGCAACATCTGATTAATATTGTTTTCTTCCCATTTAGGGACCTCCAGGTTTCCCAGGACTCCCAGGACCTATGGTAAGTGTGTTTGATTGATTCTCGGCATTTTGCCTTCCATCAAATAAATAGTTTTGGGTGTGTTTTTTTCCTGATGAACCTTAAGGCAACTTTTCTGCATTAAAGATGGACAGAATGTGCAAAGTCAGAATTTTGTTTTTATTGTTCTGTTTTGCTTGGTTGGAGAGGATGGAAATACAGAGAGTCCTTGACTGAACAACAGTTTGTTTAGTGACTGTTCAAAGTTACAACTTACTGAAAAAAGTGACTTTTCATACTTATGACCATTGTAGCACATCCATGGTCACGTGATTTACATTTGGATGCTTGACAATACTTCATGTTTAGTGTCCCGGGGTCACATAATCCCCTTTTTGTGACCTTTTGACAAGCAAAGTCAACGGGGGAAGCCAGGTTCACTTAACGACTGGGTTACTAATTTAATAACTGCAATGATTCACTTAACAAACTGAGGCAAAATAAGTGATACAATGGGGCAAAACTCCCTTAACAAATTTCTCACTTAGCAACAGAAATTCTGGGCTCAAGTGTGGTCATAAGTCGAGGACTGCCTATAGTCTTGGAATAGCTTGTTCCTGGTATATTTCTAAATTATTTTCCATATTTGCATGCAGAAGCTTCAGTTACAGTGATTATAGATTATACTAGATATGAATCCACCAGATAGTTCTGAATGAATCCGGCACTTTGGATTACAGCTAGTTCTCAGCTTACAGCAGAGGGGTCTTCAAACTTGACAGCTTTAAGTCTTGTGGACTTCAAATCCCAGAATTTCTCCTCCAATCATGTTAGCTCAGGAATCCTGGGAGTTGAAGTTCATAAGTCTTAAACTTGCCAAGTTTGAAAACCCTTGGCTTACAGCCATTCGTGAAATGACTGTTTAAAGCAGGGGTCTCCAACCTTGGGCAACTTTAAGACTTTTGGACTTCAACTCCCAGAATTCCTCAGCTTTGCTGGCTGAGGAACTTTGGGAGTTGAAGTCCACAAGTCTTAAAGTTGCCCAAGGTTGGAGACCCCTGCTTTAAAGCTACAACAGCACTCAAAAAGTTACAACTGTTGCAGCCTCCCCCCTCCCACCATCATGTAATCAAAGCTCAGGTGCTTGGCAGCCGGTATATATTTATAAAGGTTGCATTGCCTCAAGGTCATGTGATAACCGTTTGTGACATTCTCAGCTGGCTTCCAACCAGCAAAGTCAGTTTGGGAAGTTGGATTCACTTAACAGCCATATGATTCAATTAAAAACCAGGGCAAAAAAAAAGGCATAAAATCAGATTTACAAGTGCTGACTAGCCACTCTACAACTCTATAACTGCTTTGATTAGCCACAGAAATGTTGGTCTGAATTGTTGTAATGAGGACTCCCTGAATTAAATCTTCCTCAAGGCCTAAGATTACAAAATATATATTTGTAGTATATGCATTACTCCAATTAATGCAGCTGTTTGTAGCTAACGATATTCTGTCCATTCCTATTGTGTCCGAGTGCTTTTAATATGACATCAAGCTAAAGAAATTAGTGTGAGAAAAGAGTAACATTTTAATACCTTGAACCCAAATAATTTAATTCCTCATCAACTCAGGTTGGATTACCAAAACTAATACTAAACCATTTTTTTTTTCAAACAGTGAATGTTGATCATTTTTGGAAGACAGATATAAGAAAACTAGCTTTAATTCCATCAATCGTTTCTTTTGACTCCTGTTTGGATGTTTCTATGTTTCAATTGGACCATTTCTGGAAAATAAAAATTACAATGGTTTGGTATTTATTTTTGTTATTTTGCAGGGCAGTACCGGTTTAATTTTCCATGGAGAAACAGGAGAAAAAGTAAGTAGTTGTATGTGTTTTGGTTTTGCAATAGGACACCAAATCTCATTTTTCTCAGATCAGTGCAAGATTAAGAAGATTGTTAACTGTTTTTCTACACGTTGGCCACTTATTCAAGTTCTTGCCCTGAAGACATGTTGCATATCAAGAAGAAGATTGGGCAATGGAGAAGAGGCTCAGTTTTTTTTTTCATTCTGTCACTGCTTACAACATACAATTTCCAAAATAGGTATCAGCTTCCAAATATTCTCCAGAAAAGCTTTATTTTCAACTCTTTTAGAAGTGATGGATATTAGAGCTCATCAAACTTTTTGTGGGAGACCATTCTAGAGAACCTGTTCAATTATAAACAAACCACAAAGGCTTCAGCTTCTTGACCTCCTGAAAGAGAGGGACAACCAGTTGCTTCTCCCAGCATGACCAAAAGGGTTGGGTTGATTCCAGGGGTAGATGGAGTTCTTAAGTAACCAAGAACCAAGCCATAAAATGCTTTATAGAGGAAAATCAGCACTTTAAATGGCATTAGGAAACTGAGAATCTAAGGCAGGACCTGAAAAATAGGTGTAACATGCACCCTCCAGCATCCACCAGGATAGATCTGGGCCATTGCATTTTGTACCACCTAAAGTTTCTAGATAGCCTTTAAAGATAGTCCCTTGAAGAATGCATTGCAGGAGTCTAGAGCAGTGTTTCTCTACCTCAGTATCTTTCAGATATGTGGACTTCAACTCTGCGGACTTCAACTTGCAGAATTCCCTAACCAACAGATCTCAGAATTCCTAAGGTTGAGAAGTCCTTATCTGCAAGAGTGGTGATGAAGGCATGAGCCACCTAATCAGTCTTTAAGATGACTTTTTTGTATCTAATTTATTTATTTGTTGAATTTCTATAGCTGTCCATCTCGGTCAATGACTTTGGGAGGCTTACAATTCAAAAAATATATTATGATTAAAAATACTAATACATGTTTATTTTCCAACTAGGGAGATGTTGGGCTGCCAGGACCAGCGGGACCTCCACCTTCCACGGGGACAGAAGAATTTGTTGGGTTGACCAAAGGACAGCAAGGAGCAAAGGTTTGTTCTTAACAATTGATAAACTCTGAATGAAATAGTTTTTAAAAGGATGCTGAAAGTCAGACTTGATTTCTCACAGTTTCATCAACAAATTAGGCGTTTTTGGCAATAGTATAGAAAAGGTTGGGCATAAGCTTCTTCAGGCACATTTTCAATTTTCCAATCCACAGTTGCCTATCCTCCCTATCAAGGACAAGTATAATACATATTTTAATTATTTTAATTTAATTTTTTCCCCAGTTTCCTCACATTTTGTAAATTTTACGATGTGGCTCTGTGAACTACACCCTAGGCTATAATAAAGTGAACATCCAGGGAAATGTATGCAAAACTGCATATGTTAGAAGAAAATATATACACACACTCAGAGAAACACATGACAAAAAACGCACAAATGTTCCTGCTAGCTTTTCAGCCCAATATTTGCAAATTTGCACAGAAAGAGATTAGAAAATGTGTTTCAGAAAGTATGAAAGTTGAAGCTATCAAACGAGGCAGATTTATTCATGGCTGAGCACAGGGCAACACCAATTAATGTATTATGATATTAAGCTTTGGCAGGCTAAGGTCTGTTTTGTTTTTTGAAGCAGACTCTAATCTAGGAAAACATTCATATGCCTGGATATATTTGTCATTCCGTAATGGAATAAATTGATGTGTAGGTGTAGTATGGAATGTCTGTTCCTGGAAAATTTAAAATGTTGTGGCTTAAATGAAATTACTCTTGGCTTTCTTGTAACTTTGATACTGTAGTGATTTTGGCTGTTATTTAAAAGATAGCACAATTAATTAATTGGAAATTCAGAGTCGGATCCTAGATTAACTCCTTGGTGAATCAGTAAACTTAATACATTCTTCTTTGTTAACAAAATGTAGGAATTTGCTGAGGAATTTAAGCACATCCTCCCAACCTTTCTTTCCCTGGGGAAAAGCAAAGATAAGAGAATGCAGCATAAACCTTCCAACAATTAAAATGATTTTCAGTCTGTTTAGAAAAATGATTATTCTCCCTTTCAAAAGCCCAGAAGAAAAATGCAATTTAAGCCAGTCTTGGACAATTCTTCATTTCAGTAAATGATTAACTCGTTTGAGGTCTAATTTCTGCAGAGTTTGATCAATTATTTCCAACACTGTTTTCCCCACCCCAAAGAATCCTGAACTCTTGAAAGAGTAGGACTCTTGAATGTTTGTCTCTGAGAATGTCAACTTTCCCGAGACAGGAGGCAATCGAAAAGATGCTCAAGGTTGTAATCATTACCATGGAAATGTTGATATACCAAACTATTTTTCAGCTAAATCTCTAGGTCGTGAAATTCTGCTTACCCAGGTGGAAGATGTAATCTCTTAAAAAAAACAAATAGCGGCACTCAAATGGTAGCTTTTGATTTGTACCATGTACAATGTGTCCACTTGCTCAGTTGTCTTAATTTAACCAATATCAGTTCTTTGACTTTGTCAAGTTGTTTTGGATATACATAATTGCAAACCACACTTTATCTTTCCCAGCAGAGTGCAAGAGAACTTTTTTGCTTCGGTATTAGATAATAGAAGAACAGAATTGGAAGGGACCTTGGAGGTCTTGTAATCCAACCCTCTGCCCAAGACAAGAGACCTTAAATCATTCTGGACAAATGGTTGTCCAATCTTTTCTTGAAATCCTCCAGTGATGGAGCATCCACAGTCTCTAGAGGCAAGCATACCAGTGGTTAATTATTCTCAGTCAGGAAATTTCTCCTTATTTCTAAGTTGGCTCTCTCTCTCCTTGATTAATTTGCATCCATTGCTTCTTGTCCTGCCTTCAGGTGTTTTGGAGAATAGATTAACCCCCCTCTTCTTTGTGGCAGTCTCTCGAATATTGGAAGACTGCCCTTAATCCTTCTTTTCACTCGACAAGCCATGCCCAATTCCTGCAACCATTTTTCATATGTTTTAGCTTCCAGCCCCCTAATCATCTTTGCTTCTCTTCTCTGCACTCTTTCCAGAGTCTGAACATCTTTTTTATATTGGTGACCAAAGTTGGATGCAGTATTCCAAGAATTGAAAGGACCTTGGAGGTCTTGCAGTCCAACCCTCTGCCCAAGGCAGGAGATCTTATATCATTTTGGACAAATCATTGTCCAATCTTTTCTTGAAACCCTCCAGTGATGGAGCATCCACAGTCTCTGGAAGCAAGCCATTTTCCACTGGTTAATTTATTGTCAGTAAATTTCTCTTTATGTCTAAGTTGGCTCTCTCCTTGACTGGTTTCCATCCAACGCTTCTTGTGCTTCCTTCTGGTGTTTTGGAGAATAGGTTGATCCCCACCTTCTTTGTGGCAGTTCCTTAGATATTGGAACACTGCTATCATGTCACCCCTAGTCCTTCTTTTCATTAACTTCGTTCATGTTTTTTTGAAAACTGATTCTCCTCACCCAAATTATCTGTATTAGAGCGCCACGGCTGATGCCAGTGCAGAATATACGAATGCCCTGTTTTCCAGACTCAACAAACTGATTCATCTTAACAATTTTGAAATAAGGTAACTTCAAGCTGTATGTTAACCCGATGACTCAGTATAAATTGACAGTGATGGTTAACCACGGTTTAGAATTTGGATGTCAATATATCTACAGGATAAATGAATAGACCTAAAAATGAATGTTCAAACCTAGATCTTTCAGTACTGAGTAGTGATACGTTACTGAGTGTTTTGATTTTGTACTTTTTGTTTCAGGGAGTTCCTGGTGTCAAAGGAATCCCAGGCCCACCAGGAGGTCCTGGATTCCCGGTAAGATGTTTCAGCCAACCTTTGTTGACCTCTCTCCCTTTGAAGAGGTTGGAAGTGCCACATAGTTCAGAACAAACCCCACCCCAACCAAGGAACCCATCTAGAATGAAGCCATGTTTGACAAACGTGGAAGCAAAAGGGTCCCCATTCTTCTTCTGAACATGTGGAAAAAGGAGAAAGAACAGAACCTGAGCATCTTCCCCATCACACATTTGTCTTCTCCTTCCCATCATCCCATCATTGTCTGAGTATGAGCATGGTTTCCACCCAAGGATAATAAGCCTTTGTAATGAGTCCTACAGTATTGGTGTATTTTCATTGCAATAATGGAAGCATACATTGTTGGCTTGTTTCTGTTTTTTGTTACATGTAAACAAATTCCCTCTAATGTAAATTGGAATTTTTGACAAATGCTTCTCATTCAGAAGGATGGTTTCAATGACAGCTCACATAGGCAGAAGTTTTTATTACAGCTTCTTAGCATCTGGCACAATGACTCTTTCCCCCCTACCCTCCACCCCCACCTCCTCTGGTCCCTTCTTGGGTGGTGGCATGAATTTACTACCACCATGAAACATTTGCAAATGATGATGCTGTCTTTGTAATCTAAGAAAAGAGTGTTTTAGGAAACTTTGCAACCATGGAGTAAATTGTTTACTAATTGTGTCATTAAATTGCTTGCGGGCAGCCTCTTCTCCAAATAAGAGGTGCATAACTAGGGGTTTTCTGTCCATGGTTGGATATTCCAGAGATGTTCATTGATGTCTAAGGGAGACGCGTGATTTTTAATGTCACCTTTGAGTGAGTCATAATGCAGAAACTTGATTTTAAAAATGGAGTTGCAGAACAAACTGTACAGCGATGTCAGCAGGGGTGTGGCTTACAGATCCCCTGAGCAATTCATGCTTATAGATAAAACCTTACTTGAACTTATTTTTAACATACTGTAAATGATGAAACAAGCTAAATAAAGGCATTGATTGCATGTAAATTCACCGCAAATTAACACAGACTCTTTCTGTGTGCACATATTTTTATTTACCAGTGAAGTATAATAACTGGACAGTATGAAATGTATTGATATTGCAAGGGAAAATATATGCATTTCAGTGATTAAAATAAACTGAAAATAAGGGAAGGGATGAAACCCAGGAAAAAGAAAAATGAAAAAAAAAAGTTCCATGGTATTAAATAAAATTAATTCAGGCCTTAAACATACATCTGTTAAGTGTAAGTGTTAAATATAGACTATGTTGAGTCATATTGCTTCATCTTTTTATTTATTTTTTTACTACGATGGAGGCAACTTGGCATTGATTACATGAAAATACTTTTATGAATTGGGGGCATGATGGATCAGGAGTTAAAGACACTGAACTTGTAAGCTAGAGAGCTGACAGTCCGAGTTTGATCCCCGAGCTTCACACAATGGAGTATGCTCCCATTACTTGCCCCAGCTCCTGACCACCTAACACGGGGGTCCCCAAACTTGGCAACTTTAAGACTTGTGGACTTCAACTCCTAGAATTCTCCAGCCAGTATAGCTGTTTGGGGGCCCCTGACCTAACAGCTCGAAAGCATGCAAATGCGGGTAGATAAATAGGTACCACTTTGGTGGGAAAGTAACATTGGCATATAGCCATGCGGGCTACAATGCCACGAAAATGTCCCCAGACAATGCAGGCTCCCTCAGCCAAGAAATGAGATGAGCACATTGCTCTAGAGATGGATATAACTGGACAGGGAAACCTTTATCTTTACTTTTTCCTTTCTGAAGAAGCATCAATGGTTACTATTCTTTTCTTTTTTTTATGAAATAAAGATGCACTCATTAACTAACACAACACTATAAGGATGTTTTAAAAATTGGGGGAAAACTGATTTCGTGAATCCATTCTTTAATGTTTAGAGCACGGATCTGTTCCACTTGCATAAAATAATATATTTTGCTGGTTCCCCAGGCTTGGAAAAGCTACAGTTCTTTATAAAAATGTCAACTTTAATATTTAGGGAATATAATTCAATATTATATTTACATCATGCAGTAGATAATGTACTGACTTATGGAATTCAAGACTACGAGATATTACAATGTCCATAGTTTGGGCAGTTTTGAAAAAGAGATCAATAATATTGACAGATTAAGCCTTGTAGCAGTCATGACAGTTATTTAAAACTTGGAGACAATAACCTTTTTGATATCCATTGTTGAGAAGTGTGATAAGAAAAGGCAATTTGCTCTTGACTTATGAATCCAACTTGGAGGTTTCTAAGAAGTATCTCATTAAACCATAGTAGAATATTGGATGCTAAATCCCGGTGCAGAATAGCAATCCCTTATCTTCCATAATCCACTACAATCTGGTTGATGCTGGTACAGGTGGCTTCAGTCACACAAGAGATCTGAGTAAATCATATAAAATGCAATGTGCATTATCTCATTCTGATAATCAACGTAGTCTGATCCAACCATGTGAATGGATTGGGTAAATAAATTTGAGTTGATTCAGATCTTTTGTTGAACTGCTAAATAAAGTCAGTTGCACTCAAATGTTTGAGTTGATTCAGACAAAGCTATATATGCACACACCTGACACTCCTGTTCTTTATTTTGCACAATCATTTTTTATCCCCATCCAGTCCTTTCATCCTAAACATGGTTTCTGCTGACTTATTTATGCCTCTGGGAGAACTATGGAGTTGGAGATGTGGTTTTCAGCATCAGACTGCAAAGCAGAGAGCTCTGGCATCCAAGTGTTTGGTAGGAAAAGTGTAAGTCTCCACAAAGACATGGAATGATCAACCTTATCCTTGTTCTTTTTCTTTTTGTGTGTGTTTTGTTTAGGGTTTCTGGAGCTTCGGAGAAAAGGGAGAAAAAGGCGTCCCCGGTTTACCAGGACCAAGGGTAAGAAGCTTCTAAATATCTTGCTCTCTGGAAAATATTTGTACAGGTAGTCCTCCACTAATGACTAATTGCTTAGCAAAGGTACACCAAACTCCCCAAAAGGATTGGGGACTAAGGCTTAGAGCATGTCAAAGCCCAGTGGAGGAACCTGTAGATGTCAAACTGGAGCACATACTCAACAGCACATTGGATTTTATTTCATTTTAGGGAGACATGGGACTGAGAGGACCTGATGGAAACATAGGCAGAAAGGTATGTTGTGTGGTCAAACACATCTTTATTCATCTAGCAGAAGATGCCACAGTGGGCATTTTCTGGTGAGATCCAGCAAAACATTTTGGAATCATATGTCTAGTTTTATATGGGAGATCCTGGATCTTGATCCTTTAAAGGAGAAACTATTTTATCAAGACTTTGGGCAGACAGTTGGACTCTTAATTATTTGCAAGTTTCAAAAGGCAGCTGAGACCGTTTAATTCTTTTCCTGGACCTTTGGAATGTAAAGGCATTGCAGAGCACATGTTTAGGCGATTTGGGTTTTTAATTTGATTGGTGATTCAATTTGCTTCTTTATGAGCATGCAGTGTTACTGTATACAAGAGCCTATCCAGAGTTTTTCATTAGAATTGGCTTGTTTGCTTGCTTGCTGCTGAAAGGTGTTATGCAGTGTGCAGAATACATTATTTTTCAATAAATGAATAAGGACAGAAGAAAACAAGGAGAAAACCTCCGTGTTCCTCTCATTCTGAAGCATCTTTCATTGTTATTCAGGGAGTTCTGGGCAAAGCAGGATTTCCTGGTTGGGATGGTTCTCCAGGTGGAAAGGTAAAAACCCCTCCCCCCAAAGAAAAATTGACCAGGTAAGCACAAATATTGTAGCTTTAGACAAGACAGGGAAATAGCCCAAAGGTAACTGTGGCTGGCCTTTCTCTTTTTTTAAAAAATTAACGTTTTTAAAATTTTTATTTTATTCATGATTTTAAAATGCAAACACCAAAAACAGGAACCATAATACAAAAACCAAACTAAACAAGATATTTCAAAGGGGAATAAAACACCTACACGTAGATTTCCTCCCAGTTGAATATTGGTAAATATATTTCAATGATAGTTTGAATGATAGTTTCCCCCTTTTGCAAAACAAGCCCACAAATTATGAACTTCTGTAACTCTGTTTACCCAATCAAGTCCTTTCCTGATCCGTCACTTCTTCACTTTAGATAGAACTGGAAAGCAGACATTGAAATAAGGATATTATTAACGTGTTTGTAAGGCACTTCCAATATAGTAAGGCTCAAACAGGGATGTTTCTTGATTCAAAATAACTAAAAAGTAATGTTTTCTTTTTTAAGGAGAACAGTTCTAGCCAAGTTTTGTCCCTGAGAGATTCTGTATTAGAGATTTTTATTTTATTTTTGTGCATACAATCATTCAACCATGCCACCCACCCACTTTGTATTTGTGCCATACTTCCCAAGATACACTTTGGATGAAGCAGAAGCCTTTTGACAAAACTGTGAAGCTCTTGTGTTTTCTATTTCTTGCTTTCAGGGTGAATTTGGCGATGTGGGTCCACCAGGCCCTTCAATAATTGTTGACAGAAATGGTGCTGTCATATCAGGTGGATGATTTTCCTTACAACCCCATGTCTTTTTAACATGTACGAAGAATAAGAAAAGAATAAGTTAAAAAGAATGAAATGTTTCTCAAGGCTAGATTAGGGTTACTACACTTGCTCTGTACTAGAGTTCCATGACGTTCAAATCAGAGTAGACCACAAGGAGTGCGCCTCCCAGAGGGATCACATTGCAGATCCCATCATCCCCACCTGGTGCGCTAAATGGCTCTATTTTCTTGGGATATGGGAATGCATCTGGCAGAACCACTAGAGGATTCATAAATGCAAAATTGCTGTATCTGGCTTGTCTGAGCAATCTTCGGTTGTGGAAATTGTTACTGCTGGCAGGATTGTGTGATTAAAAAAGGAGGGAAACCCTCAACAAAAGAACCTGGAGTCAGAAGAGTCCTTAGTGTTCCTAACATCCAGCCTTGGTTCCATGCAGGAATCCAAATTAAACCCTGTGAAATATGTCCTTCAATTATCACTGTTTTATAGAACACCTTCTGGAGAAGAAGAATCAATTTATTTTTAGAATAGAATAGAATTCTTTATTGGCCAAGTGTGATTGGACACACAAAGAATTTGTCTTGGTACAAATGCTCTCAATATACATAAAAGAAAAGATGCATTCGTCAAGAGTTAAGAATCATAAGGAACAACACTTAATGATCGTCATAGGGCACAATAAGCTATCAAATCATACTAGGAAACAGTCAATATAAATCATAAGGATACAAGCGGCAAAGTTACAGTCATACAGTCGCAAGTGGGAGGGGATGGGTGATAAGGAGTGATGACAAGATTAACAGTAATAGTAGTGCAGACTTTGTAAATAGTTGAACAGTGTTGCGGGAGCCCATCTTCTCCTTTTACTGTCTTCCCCATCATTTGACCAATGCAGGATATACAGACAGCAGGAACGTGACTCAGAGGTCCCTAGAATTGGAAGGGGACCTTCAGACAATGAAATAACCAAACTTCCATTTAGTGCAGAAGTCACATTTAAATCATCCCTGCATGTTTGGTCAGAGTGAACCAAGAGAGTTTCACCCATCACAGACTTTATCTCTTGGTCTTCCTCCTTCTCCGTGGTACCAAAGGATAATTTAAATGCCAATTTTCTTTCCAAGGCAGTTGTTGTAGAATGTCTAAAGGACCTCTTTGAATGTCAAAGGTCTCTGTTTCAATCCTATGCATTTCCAGATAATGTTAGGAAAAGTTCTGAATTGATCAGTTTAGGCACCATTGAATTTTTGTGGGTTCTAACTCCGGCTAAATCAGCTTCTTGGATTCCAAAAGTAGGCTACTAATACAGTGAGTGAGATAAATGAAGAGAAGTTCTGAAGTTATTTTCTTTCCATCTTTTAAATCCTAGGTCCCCCTGGAGACCCCGGCACACCAGGAACCCCTGGCCCTAGAGGAGATGAGGGGAGTATTGGTTTGATAGGATTTCCTGGGCAACCAGGACGTCCTCCAACCTTTCCAGGTAATCTAGTTAAGAATCCATGGCTGGTGAGAGAATCCCGGAGTATCTTTATGTAAGAAGCCAACTTCAAAGTATCGGAGGTGTTTTCTAATAAGTGTTGATCATGTCTCTAGAAAGACATGGCCATCATGATTCTGACAAAAATGTCTCAGAAAATACCAAAGAGAAAAATACAGTGAAACAAAGAAGAAGGACTTAGAGGAACTTTTAATATGCTTCACATATTGGTGCAAAAAGTGGGAAATGGTGGAAAATGTAGTTTACTGATATTTAGAGTGGGTTTTCCAACTACCTGATATCCTTTGCTTGATTTCTGGAAGGAATCAATGAAATTATCTCCCTCTACCCATCCTTCCCGCTGTATTTCTGTTGTCCTTCCATCTTTCCTCACCCAGTTTCATCTATGAACTTGATGATGATGATGATATCTGTTCAGTTGAGTCTGACTTGGCGATTCTATGAGCCAGGTCTTTCCACATCTTTTTATCTTGCACTTCTCTGAATTTTACCGTGTTTCTCCAGCATGTTTTCTAGGCGTAAAATGAAATTAAGCCCCTCCCCCTAGTTTAAAACATGCAAAATGGGGGGCGGGGGGCGGGGGGACTTGCCATTAGGAGTGCCCCGCAGGCAGCTACGCCTCACTATCAGCCACTCCTAACACCATGGTGGAGCACAGAAGGCTCCCTTACCCCTTCCTTCCCCGGGTCAGCAGGCGGACGGCATCAGCATGGATGTCCAGCAGCGTTTCAGCCGCTTCTCAGGCCTCCGTAGCTTCCACGGTTCCCACTGGTGCTGGCGCCTTTCTCGCCAGCGCCATCCCCAACAACAGTGTCTGAGTCGCTCCCGCTTTTCCCCCATCCCCATAACAACAGGAGAAAAAAAACACTTTGAGGTACCTGGGAGCGCTGCGCACTGCGTTTTGGTTTAATCCCGAGTGGCTGGGTGGGCGTGAGAAGAGCCGAGTGAGCGTCTCTGCTGCTGCTACCCTTGGTGCTCCAGCCTCGGGCTCTGCAAGTTTGCAAAAGTCCCGGTGCGCAGCCCGTTCCTGCATTCCAAGTGCCCAGGCCGAGCTGCAGCTGTCCCTCTCTCGCCAACGCCGTCTCCAGCAGCAGTGGCGGGAACCGTGGAAATTACGGAGGTGGCTCCCCCACCCGAGAAGTGGCTGAAATAATAATAATAATAATAATAATAATAATAATAATAATAATAATAATAATAATAATAATAATAATAATAATAATGACAGCTGGTGTAACAAAGCACTGCATGGGCAGTTCCTTGAAAAAATCCAAGGAAAAATAGATAAGGAAAAGACCTGGTTATGGCTGACCAACAGAACACTGAAGAAAGAGACAGAAGGCCCGATTCTTGCAGCCCAAGAACAAGCCATCAGAACGAATGCAATCAAAGCCAGAATAGAAAAATCTGCTGATGACCCCAAATGCAGACTCTGCAAAGAAGCGGATGAAACCATCGATCACATACTGAGCTGTTGCAAGACAATCACTCAGACTGACTACAAACAACGTTATGACACAGTCGCTCAGATGGTCCGCTGGAACCTGTGTCATGACTACCATCTACCTGTAGTAAAGAACTGGCGGGATCATAAGCCTGAAAAAATGGTTGAAAATGAGCATGCAAAACTAGTGCGGGACTTCCGAATACAGACCGACAAAGTTTTGAAACACAATACCCCGGATATCACGATTGTGGAGAAGAAAAAAGTGTGGATCGTTGACATTACAATACCTGGTGACAGCAGAGTCGACGAGAAACAACTTGAAAAAAATCACCAGATATTATGACTTGAACATTGAACTGCAGAAACTCTGGCATAAACCAGTGCAGGTGGTTCCAGTGGTACCTGGCACACTGGGTGCTGTGCCTAAAGACCTAGGCAAGCACTTGAAAACAATTGGTGCTGACAAAATTACCATTGGTCAGCTGCAGAAGGCCACCTTACTGGGATCTGCTCACATAATCCGCCGATACATCATGCAGTCCTAAGCGCTTGGGAAGTGTTTGACTAGTGATTTGTGATACGAAACCCAGCATAGTTATCTCGTTTGCTGTGTACACTGTTGTTTTTATTAATAATAATAATGATGATGATAATGATGATGATGTGAGCTGAAGCTCAAAGTTAGTCAGAGAAGACATATCTGGCAAATCTCCATTAAAATATACTATCTCCTCCTCTCCTTGAAAGCCATGATGGCATCCAAAGCAAAGCCTGGTCCCAAATGCTAGCAGAATAGTTTTCTATGACTGTCCCGTGGCTCTTCCAATCCAACAGGAATGTTGAGTGTTGGCTTACCTGGCCAAGATGCCTTAAACTAGAAAGTTGTATTCTATTGTTTTTAGCAGTATACGAAGGAGCAGATTATGAGGTACGAGGAGAATGAATTGAAATGATAATTCCTGAAACATAGTCCTCATTTAGGTCTCCCAGGTTCAGTAGGAGTCCCAGGGATCCTAGGATTTAAAGGTGACCGAGGAGACCCAGGAAAGACTACAGTTGGATCTCCAGGCCTACCTGGGAAAGATGGTGATCCAGGGTTATCCGGAGCTCCAGGGTTACCAGGTGTTTCAGGTAAGTCCAAGATCATATACAACTTCTATTCTGCACTGCTTTTGTGTATGAAAATTGGTCAGCTTTCTCTTTGCTGCAAGCAAATGTCATCTCCCTACTTGTCATGACTATATGGTTTTTCTAGATCCTTGTGGATTTAAAAATCTTTTTTCCCCCAAAATGCAGAAACAATACACACAGCAGGCGCAGTCTTTAGTGGTGAACCTGGGGTACCAGGTATCCCTGGACCAAGGGGACCCCCAGGAATCTTTGGCTTAAGAGGGTATAAAGGTGAGTAGAATTCTCATTGTCTGAACATTCCCCCAATGTTCCCAAGTACTCAATCGTGGTTTTTTTCAGAAGGAAGCAGCTATAAGATGTACCACAACATTTTACACGAGTCCACTTGTGCAATATTTGTTTTTACTTCTTGGCGTGAGTAATGGCAGAATGTTCACTTTGGTTTGGAGCAAAGCTGGCTGAGGAATTCTGTGAGTTGATGTCTACAAGTCTTAAAGTTGGAGACCCCTGGTTTGTAGGATCCATGCCCACATGGCCCAAATAAAACCTTCTGTTTAGGAAAACATGAACTTCATCTATTTATCTATGCAGCTTACGTCAGTGGACTAGATGCAAGATGCATAAATCTTCCCACTCTCAGAACTTGGAGGAAGGAGCCAGGTTATTAACGGACCACCAATTCCTGTGATCTGGAGGAACAAATGCTAGGATACATCCTTTCAGCATCTCCCATAAACCAGAGAGGGACTGATAAGACAAGATTTAATACTGAGTCAGGAATACGTTTTGGGGACATGGGTATTAACCTGCTTTTGGAAATTATTTTGCTTAGAGCGAATTGAGTACGAGTTGTCCTTAAGTTGCATTAATGTCTGGTGACCTCATGGACACATTTATTTATTTATTTTATTTTGTCAAGCAATTATAAAGTAACAGGTATAAGTATAAACATAGTTATGAATACATGAAATGGATACATATAAGGAAAAGAAAAGGAAAAAATAGGACAGGGACGGTAGGCACGTTGGTGCGCTTATGCACTCCCCCTACAGACCTCTTAGGAAAGGAGTGAGGTCAATAATAGACAGTCTAAGGTTAAAGTTTTTGGGGTTTGGGGAAGAAACCACAGAGTCAGGTAGAGTATTTCAGACGTTGACCACTCTGTTGCTGAAGTCGTTATTTCCTACAATCAAGTTTGGTGCGATTAACCTTGAGTTTGTATCTATTGTTTGCTCTTGTATTGTTATGGTTCAAGCTGAAGTATTCATTGACAGGTAGGACATTGCAATGTATGATTTTATATACCATACTTAGATCAGACCGAAGACGGCGTAATTCAAGGTTTTCTAGGTCTAGAATTTGAAGTCTGGTGGCATAAGATATTCTACAACGAGTAGAGGAGTGGAGAACTCTTCTTGTGAAATATTTCTGGACTTTCTCAACTGTGTTAATATCAGATACGTAATGTGGGTTCCAGACTGATGAGCTGTATTCGAGTATTGGTCTAGCAAATGTTTTGTATGCTCTAGTTATTAATATAATATTACCAGAGAAAAAGCTACGTAGGATTAGGTTAACAACTCTTAATGCCTTTTTGGCTATATAGTTACAGTGGGCTCTAGCACTTAGATCATTAGAGATGAGTACTCCAAGGTCCTTGACAGAGTTTGGATCTGATACAAGGTCTTGACTATTCAGCTTATATTTTATTTTCTGATTCTTTTTGCCAATATTTTTTTTTGCCAATATACATTTCTGTAGTGTTTCATTTTCCAGAGATCTTCCAGTTGAATACTAAGCAGTCCAGTCCCTTATTAGCTTTCCAGGATCTGCCAATTGCCTGGGCATTATGTATCTGTAGAAGCATGTATCCCTTCATTTAACCCGTGAGCATGACGGGTGAATGTATTCACTCACTCCACAGAAGAAACTTGTTCTTCTCTATTCTACCACTTCCTTCTATTGCTGCACCATAGAGAGTGTCTCAACTTACTGCATCTCTGTATGGTTTGCCAATTGCACAGAGGCAGATAGGACAGCGCTGCAGAGGGTTAACATTACCCAGAAGATCATTGGTTGCCCTTCCCCTCTTTGGAAGAGCTTTATAGCTCCTGCTGCCTTAAGAAAGTTCAAAACATCCTTCAAGATCCATCTCATCCTGGGCACTCTTTTTTTTTTTAACTATTACCATCTGGCAGATGGTACAGGATAATAAAACAAAAACAAATAGGCTGAAAACAGCTTCTATCACAGGGCAGCTCTGTTGAATTCTACTGTATAGTGCAATATTAATGCAATATCAGGGGTTTTCAATTCAATATATACAATGTGAAGGATATGTGTTTATTTTCAGTCATATTGTACACTGAAGATGGTATTTAATTTCATTGTACAAGATGCAGTGAAAATAAAGTAAACTAAATTAAACTAAAATTAAACTCCTGATTCTACATTTTGGCTTTTGTTGACACAAAAGACACACAGAGAGAGAGAAACAACTAAAATACAGATACTAGGTTTCACACTTACAGGTAGATTTTTTTAAAAAATAAATAAATCCTGATTTGAGCTCACAACTGTGGTGTGGTTTTGGCTCGTGTCTGAAGTGAATAATTGTTTTCCCAGGGGAAGGTGGTGATTGTGCCTGTGATGGAGGAATCACAAGAATTGGCTTGCCAGGGGAGTCAGGCAGCCCTGGCCAACCTGGCAGACAAGGTGATATTGGGCCAAAAGGATCCTTGGGAGAGCCAGGAAGTGGTTTACTAGGTCCCCCTGGACCACCAGTAAGTAAACAATGGATTTCTTTTGTTTGATAGGGAAGACTGTCAGAAGAAATTAGAAAGGTTAGATAAGTTTAATTTAAAAAAAAAACCTTTTTGTTTGATGGGGGAAATGAAATCCATCCTTAGAAGGCTGTTTATGGTGGATGGCCATATGTAGGACATGTTCCCCTGTCTCGAAAGAGGATCGGGCAAGGGTAATATTTTGCTGGGAGTGTCAGCTTTGGAACCCATATTGACACCAGACCCTTCCACACTGCCACATTCTTGAGCCTGGGAAAATGGGAGGGGGGAATTTCTTGGAGTGTATGTGGTTAGACATAATAGCATTCTTCTTCTAAGTCAAGGTCATGTTATTTCTGCACCTGGGTGAGGGGAAGCCTAAAGTTGGGACGGAATGTGATTGGGGCATGTGATGCGATGATAGGTGCAGGGGGTGGATTTGTAATTTTTTACTTCCTGCAAGGAAACCCAGAACTTTCAGATTCTGGATTTCCCAGATGTGTCAGTTTACTATCCAAATAAACCAGAACTTTTGAGAGGATGTCTGTCCTGGAGTTATTTGCTGGAGTGGAGGTTTTCTGGAATGCCGACAGGAGACTAATAGATTACTCTTCATCTCTAGCTATCTTGAAGAGATCACCACTATATGTTCCTGAAATAAAGAACTATACTGAGGGGCGAAGTTGAAAGAGGGATTGGCCTAGAATCTCCGTGTTAGCAAAGTTAGTTGAGAAGATTCCTATGCACAAGCATGAGTAGTAATAAATCAATTTACATGGACCTTTACATGTGGACCTGATCTTTCATGCTAATATAGGCACAGAATTTACTGTAGTTCATAATTTTATTACCTGATTCATATTGAACACCAAAAGCAATAAAAATAAAAACACAGCATGTCCAGGGCCAATCTGGTTTAAACAATAACTCCTGAAGACTTCCCAGGTGCACCAGACTAGAAACATGACCAGATAAGCGAGTTCTACCTTATTCTAAGACTACATTAACAGAATCTTCCAAATCTGAAAGTACAAATCTCCCACCATCTTTTTTTTTTCACAGCCTGAGATATTAGTGAGGCTTCTTTCTGAGGCTCTTTGTCCATTATGGAGCTGCAGGCTGTGTCCTCTCTTATCTGACCATTCCCTAGACAGCGTCTTTTATCCTCATCTCCCAAGATCATTCTACATACCATTTCACTCCTGTAGTTAATGAGTACACCATCTGTTTTTGCTGAACTCTCTGTTTGTCTTCCAGGGTTTCCAAGGTCAATCTGGTCTTCCAGGCCTTAAAGGACAAAAGGGGGAACCGTCTTCAGACTCAGGCAGAGGACCTCGAGGAGATCCAGGGAATGCTGGACTCAGGGGTCCTTCGGGGAAACCTGGAACTCCTGGCAGGGATGGCACGCAAGGTGCCCCAGGTCCACGTGGCCTTGCGGTAGGTTTGTCCATCTTGGAGCCCTTTGCAATTAAATGTAGTCCCCTAACTGGCATCCAGAGCTGTTGAGCTTCATCACTTCGAATTCCTAGCCAGTATAGTCTTCCTGGCTATGGATTATGAGACCAGACTGCTTTCCTTTGATGATGTGAATCACTATCAGTGGTGGGATTCAGTGGTTTGCACCGGTTCGCGCAAACCGGTAGCAAGGATTTGGCGTGGGTTGCTGAACCGGTAGCAACTTCTTGCTGGCCATGCCCCCAACCCGGTTGCCTGGTCACCTCTCGCTCGCTCACCTCACCGCCCGCCTGACGCTAGCCTGCTCAGTCACTCCTGAGAGTATTTCTTTTTTCCCCCCCCCTATGATCAGCTGTGCCGGGATTCCCCTCACTTGCTGCTTCACCCAGGAGGTTTCCCTGAGGCCCAGGAAGGCAAAATAAACAACAAACCTCCGCCCCCTCACTCTATTTTTTGACTTCTTGGGCCCCAGGGAGGCCTCAAAACGAAGCGTGGGGTTGCTGCATGCCCCCCTCCCTAGGCTGCATTTTTTTTGCCTTCCTGAGCCCCAGGGAAGCCTTCTGGGATCAAAAACGCCCCCTAGGAGGCTTCACTGAGGCCCAGAAGGGCCCCCCCAAAACAGGGGGGCACTGCAAAAAGCAAAAGAAAAAAGAAAACAGCCACGCCCACCTAGTCACATGACCACACACCCCTAGCCACGCCCACAGAACCAGTAGTAAAAAAAATTTGAATCCCACCACTGATCACTATGTACAACTTGTCAAGTTTTTGTAAACTCTTCTGCCTAGATTAAAGGGCTGACATTTAGATTAGATGTGGTGCTATTTGTAGGAGAACATAGGATGACGAACCATCTCCACCCCCAACTGTTATCTTACAAGAGCTTTTCATCCACCTATAATTGATTCTCCCCCCCACCCACTTACCTGGCTGCTTCTTGCATACCATACCAGGAAGCAAATGGTCCTGGGATACATCGTGTCCTCAAAGATAACTGCAGCATCAGGGATCTGCCATATTTTTGGAGGGCTTGGGGACCACCTTTCTCCAGTTCAGGCCAAACTCCAAGCCGGAGGTGCAGATTCATCTTCCTTAGAGGTGGGCTTTATCAACCCTCAGGACCTTGGCTTCCAAACCGAGAGTTTTTCTCTTGATCACTTTCCTAATCATCGTTCTTAATGTGGGGATTTCTCCCTTCTCCCTAGTGTCTTTTTTTTTGTGTGTCTCTCTGTGCATTTAGGGTGATGATGGCTTTGGCTTCCCAGGGGACAAAGGTTTCCCTGGATTACCTGGCTCAAGGGGGAAGCAGGGTGAGATTGGCCTACCTGGCATTGGTTTTCCGGGGCCAAATGGACGTTTTGGACTTACGGGGGATCCAGGGATCAGTGGCATCCCAGGACAACCTGGACCTCCAGGGCCACCAGGTAAGTTATGTGGGGATGAATCTGACTTTGGATTGATCACCACAGTCAGGATAGTGGATCATTCAGATTTGTTAGATACGGGTTTGGAGATCCAAGTTCAGGTCCCCACTAGAACCCTCCATCTCAGCCCAGTCTATTTCACAGGACTACTGTGGGGATAAACTTAGGGAAGACATCCTGTCCCCAAATAAGCCACTCAAGTTGCCTGAGAAGATCTGATTGCATTTAGATCCTCTTCTCACCGAGCTTGAGGTGGTTTTGCAAGATGTAATGATGGATCTAAGCTTTCCTAAAACAAAATAATTGGATTGTGATGATGATGATGATGATGATGATGATGATGATGATGATGATGATGATGATGATGATGACGACGACAACAACATAATCTTTGCTCTGTGGGATTGAGTCTTCACATTCTGCTTGGGATCCACCTTGCCTTGACCCAGAAGGCAAAGACCAACACCATGCTGATTCTTTGTTTTTCACCCAAGGTTTCCCCCTCAATAATTGTATCAAGGGCAGCATGGCTGTTCTTCTACTGCGGGTTTAAGTTCATTTAATTTGTACATCTATATATGAATTGGGTCCTTCGTCAAGGGAGGTGCTTCATCTTGCAGGTTTTAGTGATAAGCCTGCTAAAGGCCCAGGGGAGCCCAGGTTTTTATGTCGCCCCACCCATTGTCCACCTTGTCTCTCAATGTGATGCAGGCTTGTCTTCTAGTGGCTTTAGAACTTCTAGCTCTTAGGACGACTGTCTGGGTGGATTAACCCTGTATATCGTACCTGTGAACCTCGGCAGCTTGGGATGCAAACCAACCTTCTCTTGGGTTATCCTTTCTTTCTCTGCTCCCCTTTTCCCATCTGCTTTGTTTTTAACTTGTGCTCCTTTGCTTAACCGGTATAGGTGATTGCTGCTGCGGTGAGGAGGTTGGTAATGGAGACTTAGACGCTCAGGGAGGTGAGAGCGAGGGCCTGGGAGCTCAAAAGGAACGGGGGCACCTTCTTCCTTCCTGTTACGACACAAGGCGCTCTCCCCCCTCCCCCCAAACACACGCACCTATACACACCCAGGAGCACGCACATATGCACACCCAGGAGCATGTTGTTCCACAAAGTGGAGGGGGAGATCCTACTTGATGGACAAAGTCATCTGTGGCAAGGGGCACCATCCATCCCTGGGGGGCTTGCTTACCAGTGCTTTTCTCCTCCCCCTGCCCCATTTCAAAGTTGCGCACTGCTGTGCTTGCCATCTGCTTCCCTTCTGGCTGTGTGTTCTTGTACCTTGCTTATTGCATGAAGCTGGTCGATGGCTTTGGAAGACGTGAGTACTTGGTCCCCGAACAGTTGACACTGTGGCAGCCAAAGGACCCAGCACCACTGCCCCATTCCATAGGTTAAGATGTTTATCACTCAGCAAAGGATTGGATTGACGTTCACCTGTGCATTCACTGGGTTGGTGCTCATTTGGGTGGATGTTCTGGTAGTTGCTGTTTCACGGGAGCTTAATAAGGCAAGAAGGGGAGGGTAATTTGGGGGAGGGAGGGAGTGAGGGAAAACCTTAAAAGCCCCTCTGCTGTTTTCCTTTTGATTTTATATCAGTAAATAAAGTGTTTTGCAAATCCTAAATCAGGTGGACGAATCAGGAGCCACAAGGGGACTACAGAACCCTTTCCTTTTGTCATGCTTTATATGAAAATTTGCACAGTTCCACTCTGCTTCTTTTAGGACTGTGAAAATGAAATCATCCACAGAAATTGAAACCATTTAGAACATTCTTGGGCCTTGGTGGTCAGGGACAAGCAACCGGAACCACTCGGGAATAGTCTAAAGCAGAAGCTTTATTGTTAACCCCCTAAGTTACAAGAATCTCCCCAGATAGATTGCCTTTCCTTAAGAATGGCCTTGTGGGGGAAGTTAAGTTGCTGCCTTCTGCCATGGAAAGAAGGCTCTAAGCTCAGCTCCTTCTTAATGCTTCCCTCCAGCCCTACTGCCGATTCCACCACAAGATACAGGGACATCCTTTAGTCATTTGCTCCATTGCATTAGATGCTCCTTGCCTCAGTCTTTCCTGGCCAGACTTTATGGTAGCTAATGGTATGGTTTTGCTACTGCTAGTTTAATCGCTCCCCGTCAGCCTAGCTCAGGGGTGTCAAATTCAAGGCCCTGCGGGCTAGATCTGGCCTGTGGAAAGTTTACATCTGCTCCACAGGGCAGCCCTGGAAACAGCAAAGGAGCGGCCTATGGTGCCTCTACCGGTGAAAACGGAGCTTGGAAGGGCCTCTCCCAGGCTCCGTTTTCAGCTGCAACGGTCTCCTGCAGCCCTCTGCCAGCAAAAACGGAGCTCGGGAGAACCACCCACTTTGCCCTCCTGCAAACACCATGAGCAACCCGGCCAAGAAGAGTGAGAAGGGCAGCAGCAGCAGCAGCCTTGAGGAGGAGGAAGCCCAGCCAGGCTCCCCCTTGGGGAAGCGGGGCTGGGCTGAGGGATCCCGGTGCCATGGGAGCTTGAAGGCCAGGCTGGGTGCTTGCACCCTGCTGCCTAGGGCTCTGGATAGCCTGCGCTGCCATCCAGGGGTCCTCCGAGTGTCCTGAGAAGGATGGTGAGGCTCCTCTGGAGGACAAGGGTTTGGCCCTCTCCCTGGTCTCACCTTCCTTCTCTGGAGACAGTGGATCCCACCAGCCCCACCCAGGACACCACAGGTTCCCCCGACACGAGTGATATTGAACTGGCCACGCCCACCCTTGCCACACACATCCAGCCCCCCCACAAGGTCAAACACAACCCTGATGCAGCCCTCAATGAAATCAAGTTTGACACTCCCAGTCTAGCTGCTTACTCACAAATGCCCTCATAGCTACTATGAAAGTTCAAGATGAGCCAACCAGAAGCTATCACTACTCTGGTGCTAAAATAGTCTGGCTGGGTTTTATTTCATGCAGTGGCCAACTAGATGCCTCTGGGATGCTCACAAGCTGGAGGTCAGGATGAACACTGTTCTACCGCAAGTGGTATTTGAAGGCATGCCAGTCCCCTACTTGGGAGTAAGCTGGAGTCTTCAGACACCTCGTTGTCATCTACCATTAATCAATCCCTCTTGGAAGTCAATTTTTGGGGTACTGTGTCCAAAGGGACTACCAGAATCTGCCTCCAATTATGATTGCAACATCATGACAATCCTACAATGGAAGGTTGGACTCTCCAGCAATCTGACCATCACATTTTGGAACTGTTGTAACTTTCAGGTCATCTCCAAAAGCTGCATTATATAGAATACATTGCAATCACCAGTTGTGATCAGCTGTCCATCATGCTTTTTTTAAAAAAAAAAAGCAGGATAAACATTATGCTAGATGCAAAATTGCCTTAAATCCAGGTGTGAAAATCTTAGGACACTATAATAGGTTTGCCACTATGGGGACAAAGGGGAGGGGGGGAAATGGGAATTGGAGGTTGATGGCATTCTGCCTACAGAAAAGCAGACTACACTGCAGATAATTGCAAAGAAAATTAGCTCTGTTTCTTGTCAGTGGCCCAGAATCACAGGGGTGCAACAGTCATCACCTGACCAAAATCACACATGCAATTGTCCCTAAGTGACAGAACAGGATTTGAGCACTTTATTTTCTGGTAGATCTGGAGATGTGGGCATTGTCCCTGTTTCTAGGGAACATGGAAAAAGTTCTTACAAGTTTTGTTCAACCAAAAAAAAGAACAAAGTTTTAATACATTTTCTGCCTTTAGGAGAAACTTTGCCCTGCATAATCCCTGGAACCATTGGTCCACCTGGGCTTCCTGGACCTCCAGGGTTTCCAGGTAGGTAGCTTTGGGCTGTAAGCCCAGTTTCTTCTAGCAGTCAGAAGACATGATGAAAACTCTTTTAATTTCACGACATGAAGACAGACTTAACCATAGTTTCAATTGGGAAAATGTGACCATCCTAGACCAAGCCAAGTCCTGCTAGGCCTGCATTCTAGAAGCCCGGCATCAGGTGGGCTGCTACGGGTTCACCCAGGTTCGAGATGTAGCTAATGTTATGGCTGGTTCAGAGAACCGCCAAATTCTACCTCTGGCCCACCATGCCCTGCCCTGCCCACCGCGCCCCTCCTTGGAGTCTCCATGCAGCTCATTTTGGATGCGAGGTAAGTGCAGAGCCTGTGTAGAGGCTCAGGGAGGGCAAAAAATGGGCCTTCCGGAAGGCTGGAAGGCTGGCCCGCTGCTGGCCTCTGGAGGACCTCTGGAGCTCAGGGGAGGCCGTTTTCGCCCTCCCAGAGGCTCGAGGAAAGCCTCCGGAGCCTGGGGAATGTGAAAACATTAACCCCACCCCCCACCATGATGCAGGAGGCCGAATAGGCCACGCCCATCCAGCAACCGGGCAGAGAACCCATTGCTGAATTTTTTGAAGCTCACCCCTGCCTGGCATTCTGTCTAATTAGCTATCCATAGACATATAGACATTAACAAGACTATGCAAAAGAGATAATCAACAAAAAGACTCCAGCATCTCCCCACCAGCAATCAGCACCCAGATCAGCATAGATTAATTCCAAGGTTAACCTCAGACCTACAATCAAATAAACAGTATCCCAATCAAGAAACATCCAGAAAAGCCAACAGCAAACAGCCCGACCAAGGAACCTCATCTAAGACCAACTCCCATTAATACTGACAGGGCAAACCACTAGACCAGTGGTTCCCAACCTTTTTTTTCGCCCCGCACCCCTAAAGAAATTTCACTCGAACCTCGCACCCCCTGAAATTTAGACTTTAGGAACTACTGAACGCGTTAAATATATGGTAGGATTGAATCTTCTCAGCTATGTATGTGACGGCCACTAAATAACGATAGTTAACTCTAAAATGAAAACAAAGTTAATCCATTGCAAAATAAAATAAAAATGCCAACGTATAGCCAATATCCTATTATTTACCTGGACTTTTCTCGCACCCCCTGGAATATCGTCTCACACCCCAGGTTGGGAACCCCTGCACTAGAATATAAACTGACAGCACGTTGCTTTCCTCACTAGTACTGATTATATTACCTGGTTGGGTAATGAAATGCCTGCAAGAAAACAAGCAAGGTCAGAGAGCTCCAAGGGCTCTCATTTAATCCCAGCTAAATTGACTTTGGAGTGCTTCAATGCAAAAGGTGTTTACGGGAGTTGGAGCATTGTTACGGTTTTTCTAGGAAGCTACGAAGGACACGTGTTTTGTTTCTTCCCAAACTGATTTTCTCCTCTTCTCTTCAGGTTCCAAGGGTAGCAAAGGATTTTCTGGTTTCCAAGGGCAGCCAGGTTTAAATGGCTTAAAAGGAGAACCGGGCATACCCGGGTTGGCTCGATTCCCAGGAATGCCGGGTAAGAACCAGAGAGGAGGCAAATGTCAGAGGTCATTGGTCACACACTTCATAATATTGCCAAAACCTTTAGATCAGGGCTGTCCAACCTTGGCCCCTTGAAGCCTGGCGGACTTCAACTCCCAGAATTCCCCAGCTGGCTGGGGAATTCTGGG